TGAGGGCGGCGGCGGCGGCGACGGCGGCGGTGATGAGCTTGGATCGGTGTCCATTTCAAAACACCGTTCTCTGTGCACACGCTCAGATCCTGGAAAGTGCTTTACGGTGTCAGAGGGATTTAAAGATTCATGTGACATGAGTGTTTAGTGAACTCCTGCGCTGAAGGTGTTCAACATGTGGCGTCCGCGTTCGTACAGACGCAGAGAGGTTCGATGCCAGGTGTAATCTGTGGGCGGTCCCCAGGCTTGGACACAGGCGGGTCTCCGTCAGGGTCTTGTTCACATATCTGTGACCCTCAGGTGTCCGTCCTCTCCTGGTGTCAACAGCTGAGGTGATCATTTCTAATCTGACTAAATCTTGAGATTCTGTGTAGCTCCGCCCACACTGTCACTGTGACCTGTGTCACCTCGTACACCAGTGCTGGACTACTGCAGTACCACGTTCAACTGAGGGTCAGGTCTGTGGTCCGTCTGCCCTCCAGATTCAACCGCAGACCCACTTCCTGTCGTGTTGCGTTCCTGCTCCCTGGCAGATGTTGATGATTATTGTAGATGACCTGACGGTGACTTAAAGTCCAAGTTTAGAGTTCTTCAGCTGCTGCGTAACCTGAGCCGCGGGCGGTGACAGCTGGGAGGGAGAGAGGCCGAGAGAGCTGGAACAGAACCTTCACCTTTCTGATTTCAGCCAAGAACGGTCACATGACCACGCCACACTGATGTCACCTTGTTTTCACACTGACAGTAATGGCATGATAAAGGCCAAAAATTATAGAACATTACACTTCAGTACAGTACACTTTTTAATTTTTAATTTTTAATTTTTAATTTTTAATTTTTAATTTTTAATTTTTAATTTTTAATTTTTAATTTTTAATTTTTAATTTTTAATTTTTAATTTTTAATTTTTAATTTTTAATTTTTAATTTTTAATTTTTAATTTTTAATTTTTAATTTTTAATTTTTAATTTTTGAAATTTTTGAAATTTTTAATTTTTAATTTTTAATTTGTAGCTATTTTACAGTTATTCCTGAACCAATTTATATTTTAACTTTTTTTTTTTTAACAATTTCAATGACCTCAAACACAGAAAACAAGAAACAGTTTGTTTTTCTCCCTCTTTTTGTGCAGTGCAGGGGAATGAGGAGACACAGCTGATCAGGAACTTGTTCAAAAACTACAACAAGAACATTCGACCCGTGGTCCACCCTGTAGACCAGGTGCAGGTCCAGATCAAGCTGACCCTCACCAACCTCATCTCTCTGGTCAGGCTTCACTCCTCTGGTCTGCTGTAAAAAATAAGATAAAATAAAATGTTGCTGTTGTTGTAACTGAGAGCTGAGAACCAATCATATTACACTGGGGTCAGTGGGTCAACCCAGGGGTCAGTGATTCTTACTGTTCCTGTCTTACAGAATGAGAAAGAGGAGACCCTCACCACCAACGTGTGGCTGGAGATTGTGAGTTTTTTTTAAAGAATTTTCTAGAATTCCAGTTCAGCCCTTCTTTGTTTTCTATCATCGTGACGTGACGTCACGTGACGATGAATTCTCTTTTCTTCACTGTCGCCAACAGCAATGGTCCGACCACCGTCTGGTCTGGAACACCTCGGACCACTACGGCATCAGTGTAATCCGTGTCCCCTGTCACACCGTGTGGCTGCCGGACATCGTCCTGGAAAACAAGTGAGTCGAGAACAAAACAAAACAACCGCACAGCCATGTTTGTTCACGGACGCCAACGTGACCCGCCGTCGTCTGTCCTCCTTCTCCGCAGCATTGATGGAAACTTTGGCGTGGCCTACTACGCCAACGTGCTGATCAGCAACACGGGCTGGATCTACTGGCTGCCCCCGGCCATCTACCGCAGCACGTGTGCCATCGAGATCACCTACTTCCCCTTTGATTACCAGAACTGCACCCTGGCCTTCAGGTGTGTTACCGCCCGGTCGCCGTCGCCTCGGTGACACCGGTGTGTTACCGCCCGGTCGCCGTCGCCGTCGCCTCGGTGACACGTTAGTGACATCTGCTGACTGTTTGACGTTACCTCTTCTCACCCCGCCTTCTGCTCTGACCCCGGCCCAGGTCCCAGACCTACAGTGCCAAAGAAGTGGACCTCATCCTGGCTGTGGATGAAGGAGGCACCATCGAGTGGGTGGACATCGACCCCCAGGCCTTCACAGGTGCAGCACAGCGGGTCCAGACCCGGTCCGGTCCTCGCGCTGAGATCGACAACTGTTGACACACTGTTCCCGTGTTTTCCCTCTTCAGAGAACGGCGAGTGGGCCATCGTCCACCGACCTGCCAGGAAGATGATCAACAAACGCTACTCCCCCGATGACCTGGAGTACCAGGAGATCCTCTTCAACCTGGTCATCCAGAGGAAGCCGCTCTTCTACATCATCAACATCATCATGCCCTGCTCCCTCATCTCCTCGCTGGTCGTCTTGGCCTACTTCCTACCTGCACAGGGTCAGTGGACGGACAGTTGTCAGGTCGACTACATCCTTATCTCAATGACGTCGTTCTGGCCGTAGAAACCGTCGACACTGTCGTGTTTGTGGCATAAGTTTGAACAAAAATGAATGAATAGAACAGTTTACTCCAGATCAGTCATTCACTCTCAACTGACTGTAGGTGTGAACGTCAGTGTGAATGGCCTCTGCTGTACACGTGGACGGCACTGACAGGGTTAATGAGATGAGAGCGCTCCAAACGCGGCCTGACGCTGTTTGTTGTTGACTTTGTGGTCCTGCAGAGATTTTTCTGAAACTCTGTTCACTGTTTTTCCTTTTCTCACAGCCGGGGGGCAGAAGTTGACCACGGCCATCTCTGTGCTCTTGGCTCAGACTGTCTTCCTCTTCCTTATTGCTCAGAAAGTCCCGGAGACGTCTCTCTCTGTCCCGCTCATTGGAAAGTGAGTCAGTGTGTTTTCTGCTGATCTCTGCACATGTTGATTCGTTTTCTTCTTCCTCTTCTTTTTCTTCTTCCTCTTCTTCTTCTTCTTTTTCTTCTTCTTCTTCTTCTTTTTTTTCTTCTTCTTCTTCTTCTTCTTAAGCTCATTTCAGCATATATCTACCCCCCCTCCTTCCTCACCCCTCCTTCCTCGCCCCTCCCTCCAGGTACTTGATCTTCGTCATGTGTGTCACTACCCTCATCGCAACCAATCAGATCGTGGTGCTGAACATCTCCCTGCGCAGCCCCAGCACTCACACCATGTCCCACAGCATCAAACATGTGAGAACCGTCAGCGTCACAGAGTCACTGATCAGCGGTCATGTGACTGTACCTGGCCAATCAACAGCACTCTTGTCTCCACCAAGGTGTTCCTTGAGATCGTGCCCCGCTTCCTGGGCCTGTCTCCGCTGGTGGACGACAGCGAGGTCACCACGGAGGTCAACGGAGTCCGAGAGCGTCGGCGCAGCTCCTTCGGCCTGATGCAGCGAGCCGAGGAGTACGTGATGAAGCAGCCGCGCAGTGAAATGATGTTCGACAAACAGAGAGAGAGACACGGCCTCACGCGCTCCATTGGTAGGACGTCCTTTAATTCACGTCAACGCTGCAGTTTTTTTTCTCTGAACATTTTCCTCTCCTGTCTCTCAGTGGACAACATGGACGTGAGCGGCACAGCTAACCTGTACAAGAGCTTGGCCCAGGCCGCCCCTGAGATCAAACAGTGCGTGGACGCCTGTAACTTCATCGCCGAGAGCACGAGGCAGAGGAACATCATCGGGTCGGTGAGTTCTACCTTCACGCCCTGATTTCAGCTCTGATCCTGATTTTCCCTCTCCCGCTCACTGCTCTGTCGTTCCTCACGTTAAGGAAATCGAGAGCTGGGTGCTGATCGGGAAGATGATCGACAAGGTGTGTTTCTGGGCCGCCATCCTCCTCTTCATCGTCGGCACCGTGGGCATCTTCCTAACGGGACACTTCAATCGGGCACCGGACTTTCCCTTTCCTGGCGAGAGCAAAAAATATGTTCCGACATAGGAGCGTTAGGAAGAATCTGCTCACTTTACCTCATGCTTTTCCACCAGGCGATAGGAGCGTTAGGAAGAATCTGCTCACTCTCTTCCATCGGTCACTTTACCTCATGCTTCTCCACCAGGCGGAGTTTTCTGCCTCTGGACTCCAGAGTCTGAGCAGCAGCAGTGACGTCACGGCCGCGTCTCCTCTCGTCCTCAGGCCTGTTTCAGTTGTCCGTGCAGCTGAGGGCTTTCCTTCAGATATGCAGATTCATTCATGCATATTTTTATGAATGAACTTAATGTGTGGATCAAGTCTATATAGTAGGGTTCTTATTTTTTTTGTTTTTGTTTCGTATGGATGGAGGTACAAAAACAAATACTACCTGTCGGTTTTGTACTCACCGATGTGACTTACTGTAACGCAAAAAAAAAAAAAAAAGTCAAAAACCTTTCATCCTCATGCTGTGACAACTCATTTTTACTGAACCAATGACCTTTGTACGTTATTTTGTATGATTTTTTGAATGGCACTGTGAAAACAAACAGTGGTGTAGAGCAGTCAGAGGCGGTCGGTCGGCGAACTCCTTTCTCTTCTACCCACTTCTACTTAAGTCTGGATCAGTTGACCTGCATGTACCATGTCTTATAAAGCATGTAACCGGAGCAGCCGGCTCTGAATCAAAGCCTTATTCTTCTTACTATGACTTATTTATCAGAGGGTGTTGACTGTAGACGGCCCGCAGGAATATTGTGTCAAGTTTATAAATAAATATTTTATTCTCTGGATCATGACTTTAAATATGGTGGGACACAGTTACTGAACCCCCTCCTCCCTCTAGTGGTTCCCAGAGTGAAGTTCTGGTTGCGGTGCTATTTCATTGTACAGAGAAGGTTTTACTGATTCATATTATTCTAATGTAATTCATCTAAAAAATATTATAATTATTTTAAAATATATAAACACATTAAAAACTACATTACACACACAACATGTACACTTCCGGTCTGCGTTTTAATTTGAAATACCCATCAGGTTTATTTCAGTGTGATTGACTGCCATCGTGTGGTTTGAATCTATAACACACCAACGCAGACAGTTTGTAAACAGCGCCAACCCCTGGCCGGAAGATGCTATGCGTATTTAATAATTAGTAATTAATCAACTATCTTTTGAAGAAATATTTTTTTATATCTGCTCATTCATTTAAAAAAAATACACTTAAAAAGATTTTAATTATTTTCTGTATTTTACCATTCACTTTTTTTGTTTTCTAATTTAAAAAAAGAAAAAAAAAATCTGCGTTTGATTGGTATATTTTGCTGCTAGCTCAACATATATACAGCCATATAAGCGGGATTCGAACCTACCATTCTCTTCAAAATACAGGTTACGGCCCGTGTCTCGGTGTCACGTTGCAGGTTTTGAGTCTAATATATTTTTTGCTGTCACACTGATGGCTATTTATTCGCATAATTTAAATATTTGACTTTGTATTTTCCATGTAAAAAAAGTCGTATGTGTTTTTTTTTTTTTACTCCATTTGAAGACGCAGGGGTGAGAGAGAGAGAGAGAGAGAGAGTGGGAGGGAGAGAGAGAGAGGGAGAGGGCGGGGCTTGTGCATCACCTACAGGGAATGAATTCACCAACTCTCCTCGACCGCCAAGAACGTACGTGAGTGTGAATTGCGATGGATTATTTCCGTTAAATCTCCCAGTTTTTCGGCCTCGAGTGTTGATTAGCAGCAGCTGCCGAGGAGCCGTGACGGCAAGTAAACTGTCGGTGAGTTGTTGGTTTAACCACAAACTTTTTTTCCCACACACACACCGTCTGTTGTCTGTGTAAGTACGTGTGTCGCGTACAGATGCACAATTCCACCGTCTGTGTTTAAAACACGGACTGACGTCTGTTCACGAGACATTTACGGCGTAGAGTTGTGTTTTATTTATGTCTTTTTATTTATTTTTTCTTTCTGTGGAATGTGGCGGAGCAGCTGCTGTAGGAAACCGGGGAACGGGGTGGAGACCACGCACACCAAAAAAAACAAAAACTTAGCTTTTAGCAAATTCACGGCCAGCGTCACATTCAGTGACATCCGGTGTGTGTTCTGTCAGTGGTTCTTCACAGTGGAGGAGATTCGGTTTTGTTGATGTTCACGTTTCCGGTGGAGCAAATTAAATCCAACATCCATTATCTGTCGAATCACAGACGGGCCAAAAAAGTGTCTGTTCCCAAATGTTTAAAGGTACAGTGTACAGAAGTGAAGGCTCGTGTTGTTGTTACATGTATATGTTTACCTTTTTATATTTACCAGTAGTTTTTGAATTTTAAAATTTGGGTTACAGTGAGAGACAAAAGCAGAAGTAAAATATATATATATATATATATCTATACATATATGTAAGTATACATATATGCATATATACAAATATATATATTTATATATATGTATATATGTGTATATATATACAAATATATATGTAAGGATATATATAGTTGTCTATATATAAATATATATTTCTATATATGTGACATATTTTTATATATGTATATATATTTATATGTATGTATACATATATAAATATAAATCTAGAAATATATATCCTTGTATATATGTGACATATATTTGTGTATATATATATATGTGACATATATCCAGCACGGAGCCCAGGTCAGACCTCAGATAAAGATCTTGCTGTGCAGACACTGTTGTTTTAGTGGTGATTGTGGTTTTTTTTGGGGTTTTTTTTTTGTCCATCCTGCAGAGTCGCTGCTTCCATGACACATATATGTGGTCATCAGTCACAGCTTTGTTCTTTTCAGGATGTTCTCCCGTCACTGCGTACATGTTCCAAAGTCCAGTTAAAACACACACACACAATGTGGGTTTTATTTACCCCTCCACCACAGTGATGTGTGAAGACCAAGCTTTGCAGAAACTGAACTGAACTGAACTGAACAGAACTGAACTGAACTGAACTCAGTGTTGAAACCTAGGCTGTAACAGACTCTTACAGCAACGACACATTTTCTGCCCATGTGGGTCAAACTAGGGCTCCACCAATCTGACCAGTCTTCCTCATCACCTGGCTCAGACTTATCTGTATCTGTAACAAATAACACATATATTTGTCATTTATTGTTAAAATAATGCTAAATTATTTTTGCTCAAGAGTTTTTGTAGTTTTTGTAAACATAAAATAAAATCCAATGTAAATATTAGCGACTGAAACGGAGAACAATCGCTGCTTCCATGACACCACACACACACAAACACACACACACACACACCTGTCTGGAACATAGACTCTGGATGAATAGATCAGTCCCATTATCAGGCTCTTCAGTCAGTATTCTAACATAGATCAGTTGTAAACCCAGTCTAAAGCCTGTGAAATGGTGTTTGATTGAATCCCGTTCACGTCCAGGTGGAGATAAAGTCCGACCATAAAGACTTTTACGGCAGCGACCGTCAGGTTTGTTTATGTCATAAATAAGACAGAGATCAGTGAGGGGACAGGGTTGTTGACACTGACCACACCCTGTCTCAGTCAGTCTAAAGCCTGAGTGATGACACTGGAGTCAGTGAAGTCTCTGAACTGCTGTGTTTTTGTCCAAACAAAGACTTCCATCATTTTTCAGTTCTAGTTTCTCAGAGATTCTAAGACACAGATTAAAAATTCTAGTTGTGGTCAATTAAAAAAAAAAAAAAAACAGTATTGAGTGGGGCAAGAACCGGGGGCAGTTCCTCTTTCTAAGGATGGGTTTTTGAACCACTGATGAGAGCAATCACTGTGGTTACTATTTACACACACACACACTCACACACACACAGTTCCTCATTACATCGGAAAACATGAACACATCTACATGCCACGCCCTTTATGCTCACTGCCCTGACTTCTCATGTGTCCTATTGTTAATGACCTCATCAACTATATACTGTACACACATAAGACGGCTGTAGTGTGTGACGGCTGTGGTGTGTGACGGCTGTAGTGTGTTGGTTCTAGTCCCCTCCATCGGCGTGTCGTCCCATCTGACGGTGGAAAGACGACTGTGACGGTGAACGCCTCGCCGTGTTAGTCCTGCTGCTGCTCCCTAATCCACTAGCTGTTGTGTTGCTAACATTAGCCTTCAGTGTAGCCTGCATGCTAACACAGAGCTGCTGTTGCTAAGAGGCCGTTCAGATTCACAGGCCTTTTCTAAAGTGTATGGGATTTTTTTTTTTTTACTACTTATTTCTCTGACGTGTCTTTAAGTTTGACGTTCTCACAGCGCTCAGCACTCACTGGTCATTGGAGCTGTACTCCTCCATCCACACTGGGACAAAACTTTTATTATTCACCCTTTTAGAAAGTCAACAATTGCCTGAATTCTAATTTATTGTTTACTTTATGACCAGGACTAGTCTCGATGAAAATATCTTTTTGATAACGAGAAGAAACTACTGCAGGTTTTTTGCTCCTCAACCTAAAAAAAATATCGATGTCAGTACTTGGTATCGGCAAGGAAAATACTCATATTGGTTTAGACAAAAGGTAACGGGACAGCCTCAGAGGTTAGGGCTGTAATTGGCCGACTCACAGTCAGGTGATTTGGTTTTGATTGGTCGGTTCATCTGATCGTAGATAAATGTTAAATAGATTCTGACTGGACTCTGGTCCAAATGTGTTTCTCACACCAGGCGGGGCAGTAGAGCGCCTCCACGATGGCCAGTCCAGAGGAAGTGATCGAGGCGGTGACCGAGACCTCAGCGGCGGACACACTGGGGAGAAGACGCTTCTCACGTGACATCTACAGCCTGAGTCCTGATGAGTTGGACGGCCTCATGTCCAGCAGCGGTAGGAGAACTCAGAGCACAGCTGAAATGCCAGATCAGATGACGATGATGACGATGATGATGATGATGATGATGATGATGATGATGTACAACTCTGATTAATGATGGTCACCTGGTCACTCACAGATGGACGCCCGTTCCTGACCGTGCATCATCTTCCTGACATGAAGGAGACGGGCGTCCCGTACCTGATGCCCGGCGTCCCTGTCACGTGTAAAGTGGACAACACAGAGAAGTACACGACTCGATCAAAGGTAACCTTGGTGACGAAGACCACGGTGACAAGTACAGAATCATTTCACCTTATTGTTGTGTCAAAGGTTCCTGTAGGTCCAACCCAAACTTAAACACTTGTTAACCAGTAAAAATACATGTTTTTTTTTATGAAACAAACAAAAGTCAAAAGCAAATCACGGAGATAAGTCGTTAGTTAAAGATGCCCCGTCACATCCAAACATTTCTAAAAGTATAACCAAAATGTTTTAGCTAAATGCTAAAAGGATAGCATATACAATTCACCATAAAAGAAATACAAAAATAGCTAAACATGACTCCAAAGCTAAGTAGTTAGCCCAGAAATAACACAACAATAAAAGTTTTGCATTTTGATATGTTTTCATTTAAATTCCAGAAAGTCTGTTTTTGACAGTGTTTGTTTTTGATGATGATGACGACGATGATGACGATGGTTGCCGCTCTCCCTCAGGTGCGTGTAGGTACCCTGTACACCGTGAGGCTAACACACGGTCACTTCCACTGGACAGTGAAGAGGAAATACAAACATTTCCAGGAGCTGCACCGAGACCTTTACAAGCACAGGATGATGATCCACCTGCTGCCCCTGGGACGGTGGGTGTAACCTTCACACCATCCTCTCTCTGCTCCGTCACTGTCCCAGGCTGAATTTTTTTTCCATATTCAGATTTTTTTTCCTCCAGCCTTGACTGCTTTGTTTATTCAAATCATCTCTCACAGATTTGCGAAGGAGCGTCAGCAGCTGAGGGGCATGACCGAGGAGATGCCCAGTCTTCACGGGACAGAGCGAACCAGGAGGACGTCCAGTAAAATGGTACGAAAGAGGAGACGAAACAGTCAGAGTTCACACTGTATGAAATGTCAAATTGTATAAATCTATGTATGTATGAAACATATATTTATACATATATCTCTCTCTATATATTCAAACATATGTGTCTATCTGAATATATTTTTGTAATATATATATATATGTGCATATATAGTGTTTCGTCATTTCTATTTTTTTAAAGATAAAATAATTATATATATTTATACATATATAAATATATGAATGAAATAATAATAATTAAAGAACACAAATGTCGTGAAAGAAGACGTAAAGTGATGTTGGTTGAAGTTAAGGTTTTTTAAATATTAAACCAAAGAATCGCTCACACCTTTGTGTTTTTTCTGTGTACTTTTATATCTTGTTTTTTTACTTTAGAAATACTTGGAGGAGTACCTGAACGGTCTGCTGGAGAACGCCTTCTGTAGGAATGATCACAGCATGGTGACGCCAACGCAACGCACAGAGAATGAATGACAGAAAAGACGTCTGGCTGAGTGTTCTGACTGTGTTCTGACTGTGTTCTGACTG